TTATGCCTTTGAATTATGGTCTTGGCAAACAATATTGAATATATCATGGCCTGGCAGAAAAAGGAACAAATCTGGCTTGGAAAAGGTACAGCCAGAATGCTCCTGAGAAATGGAATGACAAGATTTTGTCTTACATACTTTGTACTAGTTATCAGAAAAGACAAATCCCTGGAGAGGTACATGATGTTTGCTAAAGTAGAGGGTCAGTGAAAAAAAAAGAAGGCGCTCAATGAGAAAGATTGATAAAGTGGATGTAATCTTTAAGGAACAGCAAACACAGCAACATTTGTGAGGATGGTGCAAAACTGGGCCTTCTGTTTTATGAAGAGTCACTATAAGTTGGAACTGACTTGATGGCACTTAACAATAATAATTCTTTATTCTGTGTCTCATAATTCAAATATATAAATCTTGAAGGTCCAATATATGTCTTTAAGTGTTTAAATATCTTTTTTGCTGTTTTGCTAAATCCTTACTCATGGTGGCTTGTTACTTCATATACCTAAACCCACTGCCATTGAGTAATTCCAACTCATAGCAACCTTTTTTAGCACACAACAGAATTGCCCCATAGGGTTTCTGAGGCTGTGAATCTACAGAGGTGGACTACTTCATCTTTTATCTTTGGAGTGGCTGGTGGGTTTGAACCACTGAGCTTTTGTTTAGTACCCAAATGCTTCAACCACTATACCACCAGAGCTCCTTTCATGTGCCTAACCAACAAAACCAACCAACTCACTGCCTTTGAGTTGGATCCGACTCATAGCAACCTGCCTTGGGTTTCCGAGGCAATATCACTGCAGAAGTAGATCACCCAATCTTCCTTCTGAGGAGTGGCTGGTAGGTTTGAACTGCCAGCCTTCTGATTATGGATATTCCTAGTGAGTATTTATTATGATATCATTATTACATCTTAATTTATAATAATCTTATAATCCTACAGTGGTTTCTTCATCAAAGAAGATTTTCATCTTTCTCCTTGCATGAATTTCAGCTCCCTAATCATCCCAGCTTAATGTGAGAGTTCAAGGCTCAGTTACTGTGCGTTGCCACTAGCCCAAATTGCAATATGCCAGTGCTAGTACTACTATCAGTAGCTGCCCTTGTGACCACCTCATACTTCCTATATCCTTACCACTCATTCTTTCCAAATACCAACCTTAACAATTCACATTTAAAAATTGATTATGTATATTATTTTCTTAATTTATTTTGGGGGAAGTTTTCCTTAGAGATCTACAGTATCTTTTGCAAGTCCAGTAATACATCAAAAAGTTGTTCTATCTAAGATCTAGTTGATTTTTTATTGACAGGTACTTTGAAGCAACTCGTCAATCATACATTGCCAGAGGTGAAAGGAACAGAAGCTATTTTTGAACCTATGTGGGAAAAGGTATGTTCCTACAAGACACTTGTAGTGAGAATGTAATGGGGGAAAGTAATGAAGATAAAACTGCTATGCAAAGAGATAGTGAGTTGCGCAAGAGCAAAAAAAGGTAAGTAAGGATATCTTAAATTATATGTTATCATAATATATGTTTATAAGTGTATATAGTATACACGTAATGACAAAATACATGTATGGTCTGCTATATGATAATATATTAATTTTCTTATTTTTCTCTGTAGAGGAGGAGAATCTAATATCCTGAGAAACATTACCACATACTTAACTGGTCACTAATAACCCCAACTTGGTGCCAATGACTTAGAAGAATTAATATTCTAGTTGCAAGCCCTAGCAAATAATGTTGTTGTTGTTGTTATGTGCCGTCGAGTCGGCCCCGACTCATAGCGACCCCTCCTTGGGTTTCCGAGGCAGTATCACTACGGAAGTAGGATTGC